CATTAGTTTTATTTTCAGATAATGTCTTATTACACTGTGAACATGGCAATTTCAAGGCTAGTTGAAGAAGCACCAAGGATTCAAATAATCAACACAATTTCAAGAATAATACACTATGAACATGACTCTGTTGAACTGCTGTAGTTTACAAAGAAGCTCGAGCTTTGTGAGAACAGGTTACTAGCATAAAACTGCTCACTAATGACTCAAACACACAGTTCATAGTTCTAACTAACCAAGAAGATGACAATTAGGTCGAGCACTCAAGCTGATAAAACAATGTATAACAAAGAACAAGAACATAATCGCAACAAAATAGCAACAAAAACGCAACATATTCGCAACTAAATCGAGCAAAATCGCAACAAAACCACAACATAATTTCTCAAATACACAACCAAAGCAAGAACACTTGTAAAACCCTAAATTCAGCCAAAATAAAACTAAAATTAACTTGATAATTACTCAAGAAAACGAAAATAAAACTAAAATCAACAAAAAAACGATAATCGGAACAAATTAAACGAAAATCAAAACGAAAATAAACAATGAATGTAACCTAAAATTAATTGAAAAACAGCAAATATATAAACAATAAAATCACAATAACGAAGAATTGATGAAGATTGAAGAACTTGTGATGAAAAATCAGAGAGAAAAAGAGTAGAAAACCGTAGAATTGAAGGAGGAGAGAGAAAATTGAGCGAAAAAGAAGGAGGAGAGAGAAAAAACGCAGGAAATAAATTTGAAATAAATTTGTTTTGTTTTACCGGGTTGTATTATGACCGTTGTATGTAATTGATCCAACGGTTGTAATATGTCCTCACATATAATAGGGTCTCATATGATCCTATATATATGTATATATACGTATATACATATATATGTATATATACATATACATATATATATGTATATATACATATATATATATGTATATATACATATATATATATATATATATACATATATATATATATATACTCGACCCATCTGTTTGTCATAGTTAAGCTCTACACTTTGGCCAAGTCTTTTCACACGACCCTTCTTGTTGCGACCACCCACAATCTTCCAATATAACTCATTCGGACTCTTCCGAATCCCTTGAGTGCTTGCTTCTTCAACCTTCTTCTGGTAAGCCTCCTACAAGATATACATATGAAAAGGAGAAACTTACTAAGTTTGAGGAAGCATTTTCAACAAAATAAAACCAAGTAAGGCCTAAGTGACTTCTACTTTGCCCATTTTCTTCATTTCTTACCAAATGAACTATTTCTCTCTCATAACATGTCAATAATAGGTAGTTTTAGGTGTACAGGGCTTGAAATCACAAAAAAAAAAAAAAAAAAAAAAAAAAAAAAAAAAAAAAAAAAAAACTAAGTAGAAGCATTTTCAACAAAATAGAACCAAGTAAGGCCTAAGTGACTTCTACTTTGCGCATTTTCTTCATTTCATACCAAATGAACTCTTTCTTTCTCATAACATGTCAATGATAGGTAGTTTTAGGTGTATAGGGCTTGAAATGACAAAACAAAACAATTAACTAAGTTTAAGGAACCATTTTCATCCAAATTCATCCAAAGTTGGCCTAACTGACCTCTACTTTTCCCATTTTCTTCATATCTTACCAAATAAACTCTTTCTTTCTCATAACATGTCAATGATAGGTAATTTTAGGTGTATAGGTCTTGAAATGACAAAACAAACCAATTAACTAAGTTTTAGGAACCATTTTCATCCAAATTCATCCAAAGTTGGCCTAAGTGACTTCTACTTTGCCCATTTTCTTCATTTCTTACCAAATGAACTCTTTCTTTCTCATAACATGTCAATGATAGGTATTTTTAGGTGTATAGGGCTTGAAATCACATAAAAAAAAAAAAAAAAAAAAAAAAAAAAAAAAAAAAAAAAACCAATTAGCTAAGTTTTAGGAACCATTTTGATCCAAATTCATCCAAATATGGCCTAAGTGACTTCTACTTTGCCCATTCTCTTGAAATCAATCAAATAAGTTTAAATTCTTAGTTATATTGAAGTTGTTACCGCAATTTTCTTTGCTTTGGTGTTGGCTGGCACTGTGCCTTTCCTAGGCACATGATTGAAGTGCTTCTTCAAAAAAAGCTCAGGAGTTGTTGGTAGCTGGCCTTGATTCTTTGTCGCCTTTGATTATAAATGCAGAAAATCATCGTTATAAATGTCACACCACCATTACATTGTAATACACAAATGCCTTCTATTTTACTTGCCTATTAAACAAACTTACCATCCTTTTTGCATGTTGGATAGCTGACATAGAACCCTAATAGTGGGTTGGTTCAACCACATTTTCCATCGAACCGCCCCTTCTGTTCTTCCTATTTTGGGCTGACCGCTTCTTATACATCGGATTTGTGGCAACAATGTCCATCATCTTCTTGTGGACTTCCTCATTGAGTCAGCTTGGCTTGGCGCTATTAATTTTGTGTGTGATTGTGTGGAACATGTCACGTAGGCGAGTTGCAAACTTCCTTTCAAAAGTGATCTTCACATGCTCGTTCAGTTGAACTGCCCATGTGAATTGTTTCTGCAAATGATAAACTTTAAAAGTTATAAACTCAACTCAATCAATACAATTAATAAAACATGTATTAACTGAGTCAAAAATAGCATACACTGAACAAGTTCCACCAGTGTTGTTTCATTCCTTCATTTACCTCTCCATAGTTCCTCCAAGGGTCTCGATAGTATCCAGTTAGCGTACCGGAGACATCACTCAAATTGAAAATGATTGGTTCAAATAACTAGACCTTAATCTAATTATTGTTTTTGGGTTTTGTGATGATTTTATGATGTTTGATAATAAGTATTTTGTATATAAATTTTCAGATTTGGTTTTGAATTAAAAAGCCCCAAATTGAAAACCCTAGGTTTCTAAATTAATGTTTATTGAGGGAATTTGATTTTGGTTGATTAAAACTATTGAAATTAATGTTTTCAAACTAAATTACAGCAATTTTATAAGTTTTAATAATGCTGGAATTTTTATATATAAGCTATAATTATGTTTCTTGAAAGGATTTTTAATTACCCATTAATATGGAATAAAAGTAAGGGTTTTAAATAAAATTTCAGCTTGTTTAAGAAGGTTTATGAGTGATTTAAAGAGTATATATATTGCTGGAAATTTGTGTGGAAGAGGTATTAATACTTCTTTGTAATTTTGGTTTGTAGGAGACTTTCAAGTGAGTGATTTTATTTAGTCGTGACGATTTTGAGATCATATTCAAGGTAAGTTCGTGTATTTAGTAATAATTTGAATATGTAGAAGCATGCTAGACTTTGCTTAATTAATTCCAAGTAGTATCATGATAGGTGTTGGTTGGAATTTGTTGATTGGATTGATGTCGGAGAATGATTTGTGCTGTATGAATTATTTATGGTGATTGATACTAGTTGAAAAACTTAAATGGGCAATGCCAAATGCGCACCAGTTTTTAAAAACCGGTGCGAAAAAAAATAGGCGGGATTGAGAGAAAGAGTTTTCGCACCAGTTCTAACCAAATCGGTGCGAAATATATGGTTTTCGCACCGATTTTAACAAAACCAATGCGAAAGTGAGTAAATCACACCGGTTCAGTTTGAACTGGTGCGAAAACTATTGTAAAATAAAAAAAACCGCTTATATTGTTCTTTCTTTCTCTTTCAATTCCTCGATCTTTCCTCCTCTCTCATCTTCCTCTCTCTCCTCCATTTTTTCACGAATCATGCTGTAATCCTTCCTCTCTTTGTACTCCTTTATATCTATTTCTCACTGTAATCCTTCCTCTCTCTCTCCTCCATTTACGCGTACTCGAAATTCTCCATTGAAGGGGCTTCTGAGATTTCTCTCCTCCATTGAAGCAGTCTCTAAGGTTAGATGCTTCTTTTTCTTTAATCATCTAGTATATACTTAATTTAGGGTTATTCGAAGTTGGATAATTGAACTATTGGTTATAGATAGTTGAAGAATTTAACGTAATTTTTGGAGTCTAGTTTGATAATTGAGTCAATTTTGGTTGCTAATTTAAGAATTGTAGTTTATTTATTTTATTTTATAGGAAAAACACAAATTCACAAATTCTAGGGTGGGGGGATGGTTTCAGGGGTAGGGGTTTCGAGTCTACAACGGTTTTGGGTTAGGGAAAGGGGTGGTGGTTTCGAGTGGGGAAAGGGATGGGAGTTTAGGGTGGTTTCGGGTTGGGGAATTCAAGTTTTGGGCGGTTTCGTTGGTGGGGCTAGGGCGGGGGGTCTATTGCGCTCATGTGGTTCTAGAAGGAGGGTGGTTTCGGTGGTGGTGAATGCAGAGGCGGATCCACATGTAGTGGCCATTAATCTAGCCTAACAGAGTGAAGTTAGGAATTGTGAAAATGTTTGATGAGTAAGATTTAGTGGCCTAATCTTTTCACCTTTTCTCATTCACCTGCGATTATATTAGACAGGGTAGAATTGCTCGACTTGGGGACCTTTGTTTTAATAACCTTGAGAGAACCCTTCTTGTATGATTTAGATTTGATTAGTAATTCCTTTTGTTCCTTTCCTCATAACTTGAGTTTCCCTTTGCACTCACTGGGTTATGTAACTCATGTTGGATGAACTTGTAAAATGAAAATGTTAGTGAAATAAACGAATGAACTTATGAGAAGTTTAGTGTTCTAGTATATCTCATCTGCTTATGAGAACTTATGAGAAGTTTAATGTTAAAACTTAAGTTTGCTTTTCTGCTTGATTAACCTTAAAACTTAAGTTTGCTTTTCTGCTTAATTCATCTATTATTATTGGACTCCACACGTGATTCTTATTTTTTTAAGATATCCATAATTAAGGATAACATAAGAACATATTCTATAAGACTATAAGTCCTAATTTATAGCATTAGTAAAACAGTAGCCAATGCTATTGATTTCTAGTTTGAATGTTTTTAATTGATGGATGTTGCTTACTCTTCTAGAGTTCTAGCCAGTTAGTATCTTCCAGAAGTTTCCATTCAGAAAGGTCTTTTAAGATTGCCTGTTAGTGGCTATGATTGCTACAACAATAAATCCTGGGTCAGTATTTTAGCTGCAAAACTATTGAACCGGAAACTGCTTCTCTGTTATGAGTGACGTACCTGGTCAAATTTACATATGGTAGATAAGTGGCTATGCTTTTATGATTACGGTAAATACTTATTGCTTTTTTTCTCCACCTTCGTTCCTTTCCAGGTTTCTTTAGATTATTCACTTCGTTCTTATTTGGAATTCATATTTTTAGAGCCTAGGATGAAGATATATGTTCAAGGCACACTGGTAATTCCATTAACTTTCTCTTGCTATTATGGGTTATTTAATTCTATCTGTTTATTGGTGAATTGTAACTCCGCTTGACAGGTTAGAAGTTGACCCTTGGCCAAATCTCTTAATAATACTGCTCACCATAATGGGGAAATAATGGGCAAACAAGTCTGGCTTATTCTTGGTCACTGTCAGATAGAGTGGGATGAGGCAAACTGTGGAATATTCTTATACTGGCATGGCCGTCTAATAGAGGTCAGCAACATTTTCTCATCTAAATGTGGATGGTTGGGGATTTTTTTTCTGAACATTCTTGTTTATTGCATGCTTCCTCATTTCCTTATCATCGTTAAGCTGCAACTTTATGGGTGTATCCTATACGTCATGCTTTAGTGGGAATAAGTGATATTAGTGTGGGTTGGTCTCTAAAAATAGTAGTAGATGTCATCGCAATATTTTCTTATCAACAAATAGGAGTTGATGTTGATGCGTGGGTGGCTATGTGCATAGATACATGGCAAAGTATGGAACAGTGTTACCAAATTGGCTAGTATGAGATTGGATCTGTGTATTCTAGTCACTGCTAACTATTGTCAATTTAGGCAATATGTACCACATTCATGTTTAAATGTTCCTTTCTCAATTCGCAGGGGGGGGTAAGGAATCAGGTAATGTGTATGCCTGGGTTTGAAGGAACATAAAATAGAATTGTTCACTGTTATTTGGCCAATATATCTCGTAGTTTGTATAGAATGGTTTCTGTTAAAGAGGGTTTATGTTCTGATTTTAAAGTTTGTATGGAGCTTGTAAGAAATAAATTGAAAGATGAGTTTCCTTTCATTGACAATAGTAGCCAATGTATCGGTTGTTCTCAATAGATTATGTAAATAGTCTTTAATCTCTATATTATCATGTGTTCTCTACTTCTCTCTTATTTAAAAAAATTTCATTGGTTTGAATATGTGCTTAATGATGAAACTTTGTTATTAAATCCCCTAAGGTAATAACATGTTACCTCTTCTAATCTAGTGTAATTATAATTTGGGAGAAAAATTTGTTTTAACAAGAGAACGTGCCTGCTTTTGCATGCTTTTTTTTATCACAAGAAAGTGGTTGATGGATTAAACTATTGATCTACCTACTTAAAAGCTACTGTAATTTATAAGATTTATAAACTCGAGAAGGCCTACGGTTCGAGTCCGTATAGCCCACCCCCGTGCTATTGATTGTTATTTTTAAAGAACATAAAGTTGCAGATGATTATTACAATGTAGCTTGTTAGGCTACCAAATGTCAGTGAGTTATAGGTCTTGATATACTGTAGAGTTAGTATCTGGAAATAATCAGATCAATGGTATCGACTGGTCATCCAGTCCAAATGGAGATGATTATTGGTAGTGGTGGTAATAAATATTGTTGCCTGTTTTACTTGTGGGAATCGATTATTGTTATCAACACTACTACATTTTCGATCAAATACAACGCCAAAAAATGAGCTATTGCAACGCCCTATCCAAATGCCGTGGCAATAGATAGCCTATTGCAACGGTATTTTTATTGCCGTTGCAATAGAGTAGGCTATTGCCACGGAGTTAAAACTAATGCTCTTAAAGGTAGAGTTATTGCCACGGCTCTAAAGAACCGTTGCAATAGCCTAGATATTTTAACAAAAATGAAAGCTAATGCAACGGTAGTGTTGTATCATGAAAATTTTAGCTAGGTTGAAGCGCGCATTGTTCCCTCTAATTTTTTCACCAAAATTTTGAACAAACACGTGTTTACTTTTCTCACCCATTTTCTCCCCTCATTCTCACGGTACCCATTCTCATCCTATTTCTCCATTTCCTCAATTTCCCCCAATTCTCCATTTTCTCAATTTCCCCCAATTCTCTAGTTTCCCCATCATCATCTCACATAAATAAGCAAGGTAAACAAAAATTCTGAGGCCGATTTTGAGGTGAAAATCACGAAAAAAATCATTCAAAAATTCGAAGCAGAAGGCAACCATCGCCGCAGCCGGCAACCACATCCACAACCACCGTCGCTCACAAAATTAAATTCTCTCTTTCTTCTCCCTCCTCATTCAATGATGGTCACGGTGGTGATGGTGGTCGCGAGTGATAATGACGATGTGGTTCGATTTTTAGGGTTTTGATTGGTGTTCATGGTATGAGCTTCTTTAAACTTTCCTCTTTAAATTTCAAATTTAGGGTTCCTTTGCACAATTTATAGTTCAAATTTTTGATTTTTTTCGATTTCTAGGGTTTGGAATTGTAACTGTTGGCGGTGGTGGAGAGCAACGATGGTGAGTTTTGATTTGTAATTGATGGCGGTGGTGGAGAGTTGCTGAGCTAACGTCGCTCAAACTCCAGCTTCGTGCCCTGATCTATGAGTAAGCTTTCTATCTTTATCTCTCTTTTTTCCTCTTTCTCGCTACTTTCTCTCCCCTTTCAATTATTGTTCCAATTTCGACAATTATACACTTAAGAAGTTTTAATCAATTGACAATTTAATGTTAATCAGGAACATCATCATCGTCCATGGTAGTTGGTGAGAGTGATTTGCTAATTGTTGGACCTGGTGTTCTTGGTCGCTTGGTAGCTCAACAATGGAGTCAGGTATAATCGCTATTTTTATTGTATTTCTACCTCTATTTCTTTCGTTTGTAAAACATTTAATTCCTCGAGAACTGTCAGGTTAATTTCTTTCGTTTGGGATTCTCGCCTTTATGTTCTTGCCAGGTTCCTTCTTTTATCTTTAATTTCTGATTTTTAGTAGATTTTGTTATAAATTTTTTATCATATTGTTAGTATTTTGTTTGATTATTGAAAAATTGGTAGATTTTTAACTTGCAAATAAGTGTACTTTTGGTTGTTTTGTTGGTTATGGTAATGCAAATGTTATGGTATAGGTAATGACAGTAGATTACTATAGTTGGTGTCATAATGTCTAGTAACTTGTGCTTATAGACGATTCATGTTGGAATTGGTTAAGGGCATTGCGTTTCTTTTGGGCGCGATAGAGCAAAATAGTATATTAATACTTCGGAAATGAGCATGGTTACTACTTATTAGTACATTACAATTTGGAAAAGCTGAACTATGTGTTTGGGGAATGGGGTGCAATGGGATTGGGGTCTTGATAAAAAAATTTCGTATGAGACAAGTGTGTTATGTTTTGGAGTCAGGTAAAATCGGTATTTCTATTGCATTTTGGCTTGATTAGTAATACTTTGGTACCGAATTGTGTACCGTACCCAAACTTGTTTTTTTTTTTTGTTTGGATGAAATTCAAAGTTTATGTTGCTGCAGTGTTGTGTTTGTTTTTTATAATTGTATTTGTGGTGTCGAGGTTGGGGTACTGGGGGAAGCAAGGAATGGGGAGAAGGGAGGGCGGCTAGCAGTGGCCAAGGGGAAGGTGGGTGAGAGGAGTGGCTGGGCTTATAATTTTTTTTAAGTGTTTATAATTTGTTTTTTTTTTTTTTTTTTTTTTTTTTTTTTTGAGCTAGGCCCTAGGAAAAAGTTTACAGATTTCTTTTAAGAAAAAAATCAAATGTCATAATTTGAATTTTCAAATTTATTTGAACCTTGAATAAAATTGCCCAGAACTTTATAACGTTCACCTAGTGTTCATCGTAATGTTTGAGTGGGAGTTAGGCCGTTGTATATTTGATTTCTATGGTAAATTCCAATGGTTTCATTCTTTGTGTAGCTTTATTGGGTATAAACTTTCATACAAGGCTGTGTAGCTTAAATTGTCACCCTTTTGAGTGTATGATTGTTTCTGATTTTCTGAACATTGGTCTCTTTTATGTATCTAAGCTTCAAGATAGGATAACAAGGCACAAGTATTACTAATTTATACTCCTTTGCTCTAAAATATCTAGAGAAATTATTATTTTGATGCTATACACATTTCTGCAGTTTAACAATTTTTTGGTATTTTTATATTCAGAAAACCATCCAATTTTTTTTATAAGAAAAAGTTAGTTTTTTTAATTATTATTATTATTGGTCATCCTTAGGATTATTGAGTTTTTTGCTTTTTTCTGAAGATTTATGTGTGTTTTAATAAGTTTAGTTCCTGACATCTAATTTTTAACTTGTCCGGGCATCTGTTTAGCTTCAATGGACAATTCCATTAGTTTTCTGCTGGTGGGTGGGAAACAATTTTCAAATTTCAACCAAGTAACAACCCCTCTGGTTAAAACTTTAAGTAGTATAGTAGTACATATAGGTATATAGCTAGATATATTATACAAGTTAGTATTCAAGTAGCTTTAATGGAGGAGGGGAGAATAACTGATAAAATTAACCCAATCTAAGGAAAAAATAAAAATAGGTCATGAAACAAAGAGATATATTATATAAGATGAACTGATAACTATATATATATATATATCATATGTCTAAATTTCAGATTTTTTCTACTATATACAATGAAGTATAACATGTTAACAACATTTGTACTTGCATACAAGAGGCACAAGCAAAAATAATTAAAAAGTCAGAGTTCATAAATTAGAAAATAATTAAAGTTAGATCCACTATAAAGGACAGTAGTACTTCACTATATTGTGTGGTTTCTTATAGTAACTAACATATTGTCGTTGATTCCTCCTCATTAGTGATGGCATGCAGTATTAAAAATGTAGCGAAAGATAATTCTTTTATATAAAAATAAGTGGTAAATGACATGCAGTGGTTAATAATTTGTGAATATGTTATATTAAGACTAAACTAGTACATAAGTAGATTGCTACTGGTGAAATTTGTGTGTTGTCGAAATAGTAAAATTGATATGTTCCTTACTACTTGTGTAGCTGTGTGTAGGCTGATACACAATTGGGTGGATTGAATCAGAATTTGATGGGCCATGTCAATCAGTTTGTGCTTCATTGATTAATTACTACTTGTACTTTGCAAACTCCTTGTGTTATTGAAAATATATGGAGTACGAACTTGGCCATATTTATAATATACTCTTATAAATCCGTGTGTCCAAAAGAGATAAAGGGTTGTATTTTTAGGGACAGAGGGGAAGGGGAACCCATTGAAGCTCTGAGGTAGCTTAACATTACTCCAGTTATGGGTGGGAACATAGGGGAATTGCTTGGAGCCTTGACAGTCAGCACCCCACAACTTAAATGGAACTTTTGGTCCCCTAGAATACTTTTCTGGGTCTAACTTCAATTCTTGTTAAATTAGTTTTACTTGTTAAATCTTGGAGTAATTTAGTTTATGAAGGCAATATAGACAATGTGAATGTGATAGCTTTCTTTAAAGAGGATGTTGGGATGTTACTCTTTTTTTTGTTAACATGAGGTCGCGCTCACAAGCGCTTGCTGTACAATCCCTGTTTAATTCCAGCTGGTACCCTTTTCCATCCCCATATTTCTAATTTTTGGTTGCATTTTACTAAAATTTATGATTACAGTTGATCTATTTGGATATTTATTTTATTGTGTTAGAGTTGGTTCAAAGAGTTTTTATTTCTTGCTCTAATTTTGTCAAAGTTTATTGTATAGCTGAATTTATATATTAGGGGGATGTGTTTGTTACTTGTGGGCAGCTGTGATTTGCTGTCAATATAGAATATTAAGGTCATTGATTATAGAGTAAACTAACTTTGAATTCTTTGGCATATTGAAACACTGGGTGAATTCGGATTGTGGCCTTGAAGGTTGGTAATATGAACCATAGGGTGATTCTTCATGCGTTTTGAACTTTTCTCATGTTGATTGTGGCCTTGGTCTACTATAATTTATAATTTACTTCTATTATATTTCAATATATTATTCTATTTTACGTGTATGTGCATGGGGAGCTAAATGGAACGGAAGTATAGTGACTAGTCATCTAACAAATGGTGCATATATGTTGGCGACTCTTAATCAAGTTCAACTTTGTGAAGATTTGAAAATTCCGGCTTATATATATGTTGACAATTTGTATTTTGGACGATTAAATTAATTATTTAACTTTTATTTTTTATTAGTAGGGTGTCATACCAAAAACAAGCAAGTAATATTTTGTAATGTACGTATGTCGCATTATAATTATTATATATAAGTTTAATGATACTTTGTTTTGGTTAGTATATTTAGATTTGTACTGACTAATTATACATATATTAAATTACCATTCCAAAAAATAAAAAAAAAATCAAATGATCAATCCGTTGCAGTAGATACGTACTACTATCATTGTAGTAATTAGTTCCATCCGTTGCAATAGGTTCAATTTCATCATAATAATTAGTCAGTACCCTATTGCCACGGATAAGTTATGCCGTTGCAACATGTATAGGTCTATTGCCACGGATCATTGGTGCTGTGGCATTAGGTGTCATATGCCGTTGCATTAGACCTACTGCAACGCCAGCAGATGTCACGGTACATGGCCGTTGCATTAGGCCTAATGCCACGGATTTTGACGCCTAATGCAACGGATTTGGGGGTTGCAATAGATAAAAAATGTAGTAGTGCAATGATAAGTTCGTGAAAGTAGAGTTTGAAACTTGTGAGCAACTCATTGCTACCTTGAGAAGCCAGCTGCAATAGTTTATAAGCATTACAACTCTTATTTTCTGTTTGGCATCACTACCTCAGGATAATATTTTGTATGGAATAGTTTTATTAATATTATTTGCAACTTCAGTACTAATTATTTGCTTTCTGGCTAATTGGTTTGTTGTTTAACAGTGGCTTTCCTGTGTGGCTGCGAGATGTTCCTGGTATTGAATTTCGAACAGATAATGCACCTTTTAAGGTAGGCGTTTATGTGATATCTTGTCTCTCTCACCTTTCAAAGGAAAATGGGGAAAATATGCTCATCAAAAGTCATCTGCTGGTTCACAGTGCTGATATGGGTCGAGGTGTAACTGGTGTCGTAGAAGTTACTAAAAGACCTTGTATTTGTGTGTAACCTTGTATTTTATTTTATTTTATATTTTATTTTTTTGGACGAAAATTGTAATATTACAGTCTTTTTTTAATGAAAATATGTAACTTTATATATATATATGTTAGTGTTTATATATCATTTTAAGTGAAAAAAATGCACAATTTTTTTTTTTTGGGGCACTTTTGGCACCCGTTTTGTAACAGAATCGGTGCTAAACTTTTTTTTTTTTTAATTTTTTTGGGCCATTTTTCGCATTGGTTCACAGCAAGAACCGGTGCGAAATCTTTTGGTTTTTGGCATCCCTCAAATAAGGACCGGTTCAAAATCGGTGCTAAATGGGGGTTTTGAACCAGTGCCCATTTGTATTTTTCACCTAGTGTGAAATTAATTATGTTGGCATGTTGGTTATGAGCCACACTTTTATTATTAGCATGTTAGAGAGCATGTTTAATTAAACTAAATGTTTAATTTGGTTTGGAATGTGAAAAGGGAATTTTATTATGGTTCATATAATTTTATTGATGCTTTAAGCATGGGAATTGAGCTACTTAAGTGTCTTAGTACACATGAATAAATTATATTGCGATGCTTATGTGCACTTAAGGTGTTCCTAACACCGAGGGATAGGATTTGCGACGCATTATGTGTTTAAAGTATCTTTGACACTGAGGTAGATTAAAAAAGGGTTCAACTATTAAATTTGTGTGGACACTAATTATTCAAGAATTAAATTGGTATGTTTGATTGCTTGAATGATTATTATGTTTGATTGTACTATGGTTTGAGAGTCATCACCAAGTATAATAATATGTAACCAACGTAAAGCGAAAAAGATTACACACTAAAACTCTTGGAACGTATATACCTTGAGTATGAACATATGGGGGGAGTTATGGGGTTTTATATTTAACTATGACTGCTACTAGGAGTACAGGACGCTGTATTTTCTTTTTTTATTTATCTTATGCGCAGGACGTCCAGTCACTTCATGTGACATTTGCCTACTCAGTTAGCTCTTAGTGTAGTTTACCTCAATTTATTTGAGACAAAGATTTGGTTGGAAACCCATTCGATGTGTAATCAAAATTAAATGAACATTGATATTGGTCTAGTTAGGTGTTGAATGTTTTGTCTGCTTGTAAACAGTTACAGCACGGTAAGTTGTGTATTGATAGGATGAAAGCATGTTAGTGTGTTTTATTACGCTTATGTATGTACTCGACATTGCTGATTGTGTGTTTGTATGTTTGTTTGGCATTGTCTTTACCTTGGCTCTACAACGACCCTTTTCTAATGGCGAGTAGAGAGAAGCTTTTCAAGTGATGAAGCATTTTCATGAAGGGCATGAGTGAAGAGCGAATCATGCTTAGTTCTCATAGGAATATGATGTGTTTTATTTGCTTTGAATATTACTTGTTTTATCATGCTCATGAGACTAACACAAAGGTTTTCAGTATTGTTTGAGTTTAAGGACCTACAATGGTTCCGAGTTGTAGGTTGACTTAGTTTGACTTTTACTTTCGTTTGGTTTGACTTTTTATGTTGACTTGTTTTTAAAAAGTTATAAAGATAGTCTTCCGCTGTGTGTGTCTTTGATATTTGCCTTAGCCGTTTTCACGGTGGCGCTAATGTCTTAGATTTTCCTATTTCGTATTTTTGAGAGGGAAAAATAGGTATTTTAAAGGAAATGAATTTCTAGGGCGGTACATCAATTGTCGGGCAATTGGATATGGTTTCCTTCCTTTCTCTTTCTCTTGTCTTTGGGAATCAGAGACGGAGGCGGTTGCATTGATGAAGCGGATCCAGAAGTTCTCGAAAACTCAAGACATTGGAGCACGTGCTGTTGCTCATATCTTCATTAGGACAGGATTTGCTATACCTAGAGGAGTGGGGGCCTAGATTGTATCTCGGCTTCTCACTAATTTTTGTAGGTTGTATGATTTTGTCTGTTTTTGAGATATAATAATAATAATAATAATAATAATAATAATAATAATAATAATAATAATAATAATAATAATAATAATAATAATAATAATAATAAAA